TCTTCTTTTTCTTCGACACGTTTAACGTGACTCTTTAACGTTCTCGAGACGACGCACGAGAACCTAGACATTCCAGCAGAATCTAGAGCGAAACGCCGTTAAAATCATCATCATCATCGCCGACCACCGACCTAGAAGGGTGGAGAGGAGCAGAAAATGCCACGATATCCGACGACGATCGCGGCGAGAAAGGGTGTCGCGACGCGGATTCTCGCGACCGGCCGTGGATAAAAGATTCGTCGTGTTCCTTGTCTCCGCTCATTTGTATCCGAAAGTGTGTCTCGTTTCGTGGAATGTCAAACATCCATCCGGCAAAGGGCAGATCGATCGCGGTAAAGGAAGTTGCGCGAACATGTTCAATCTGGACGACTATGTAATGGTGTTACTACGCGACGATTCGCGACCACCGCAACGGCAGCAGTGTCAGTGTTAAATAAAATATAAATATTATAAATATTCGACGAGAGTATACTCGCCAAAGTTGTGTCGATCGACACGTCGACAGTATTCTTACTCCAAAGACGAGAGGAAGCGAACCAAAGGTGTTGCCAACGCGAATCTCTCGGTGATTCGAAAGTAAACGATTGGCGACTATTCGAGAAGCTACTCCCGATAATATCTGACAGATAGAATAGAAGAAATAATAAAAGAAAGGAGAGAAACATAGTAGGAAGAGGAAGAGGAAGAAAAAATTGGGAAAACGGGATCCGACTATCTACGGTGGTCGGTCGACGAACCGTTCGATCGTCATCGAGGATATTGTCCCGGGGTAGTTTTCGGAACGACCCCTTCGAAGCGGCGAAACTGGAAGCTCTCGAATCGTACGGAACGTCAAAGCAGAAGCGCCGGTGCCCGGGGCGAGGAGGAGTCCTCGACGCGGGCCAGGCCGCTGATCACAGGCACCGCGCCGGAGACGGGAGACGAAGAGAGTAGGAGAGAGGGATTGGGAAAAAACCGTACAGAAACGGAGAGAAAGAAAGGAAGAGAGACGGCATCGTCTCTCGAGCGAGGGGTCCTTCCGTTCGGGGGCTAGGGGGGTGCCGCCTTGGACGAGGGGTCGCACTCGACTCTCTTCTTTTTTTTTTTTTTTTTTTTCTTTAAAGTGGGCAAACCGCGCAAAAGAATAAGAGACGCGTCCTCGGGGCGATGACAGGATGCCTCCTTCTCGATCAGGACGCGTCTACGAAGGACCACCGTCTAGGATCGCCGTTAGAATCGGACCTACCATCGCCCTGTTGCTGATTCTCTTCGAGAATCGTCGGTAAGTTAAACTGCGAATAATCGGCACGGCCGAGTACGTACCGATCCCCCGCCCACCCGAATCATCGCCGAATCATCGCCGTCCCTCCTTTATCTTATCCCGCTCGATTTTTTATTACAGCAGCCGCATCGTGTTGTTCGACCCACGAATCGAATCGTTTACGTTCGATATCTCGTGTCGCGTCGTGTCTTGTTGAGTCTCGCTCTTCGATTCTGAATATTTATTTATTTTACAATAAGCTAGGGGACACTGTACACCGCTAAGACAAGATAAATTAAACTTTAAATATAGATACAAGCGTTTCGATCGGGTTCGAAGCGGCGGTGATCGTTCCCTTATGGTATATACGTACGATCGAGTCGTCATCGTCACAGAATTAAATTTACTCCGAAAGAAGAAGAGGGAAGAGGCGCGCGCGCGCGAACGGCGGAAAAATATGATATCGGTCGCATCGACGAGGAAGGATCCGAAGAAAAGGAAAAACGAACGAACGGTGGAAAGGAGAAGAGAGGAAACGAGGGGAAGAATAACAGGGCGAGTGGTGGTAGTCGCGTATAATTTTTACTTTCCTCCGGGGGAGGAGGGGGGAAGAGGAGGAAGAAGAATTCACGAATTCGGTGGCAATGGGAATTTCTAATTCGACTCGTCGTCGGTCGGTCGCTCGTCCTCTCCTCGTTTCTCTCTTTGGAACCTCTTACGGAAAGAATCTGTGAATGGAGGAGAGAGAGAGACGGTTCGTCGAGACGCTGGTCGCATCGACGATTCCGAGCCGAGTACAATGACGGGAGTGCAAATAGGCCCCTTTCAACCGTGCTCCGTGCCACGAACAACGAACGATCCCGCTGCGATCTTCATTATACCTCTTCGATCTGGCTGGCACTCTGTGTCGAACGCCTTGCACGCTCTAATCGAATCTTTCTTCGGGCAAAGGGGCACTCGGGCCGGTGTCGGTCGGTTCGTTTCGCGTGAGCAACATTCTTTAACCGGGCAAGCGGAGGAAATCGGTCGTTTTCCGGAACGCAGAGTTAAACGCGGAGGATGGTTCCAGGAATCGCGATAAATTCCTTGGCCGGTTACTTCCAAGAATACGATTCGCGCGCTCGTCCTCGGTACACGAAACGACAAACATTCTCGACTATCTTGTGACAATGTTGTGTCTTTGAGATAGAAGTGTAGTCACAGGCGTAGTAAGTACATACGATGTGGCCCGACCAGAACGGAGCCGTCCGACGTACGCTTCTCCTTGATGCCCACGCGGCTCCTCGTAAATAATTACAAACAGCATCCGGGAACAAGGCCGTACGTGCACCGACACGCTGCTCGCATGCACGCGCGTAGATATAGGCACGCGTGAGCTTCACCGTATTTACGGAGCGGCATTGAATTACGGCATCGAATAATTCCCATGATGTAATGCTCGATAAACCAGTTTGCGGGACACGGCCGTTTACCACCCCCTGCCACCGTCGATGCGTCGATTCTACTCCACGCGTATAGAATTCGCATTTCATCCTCCTCCTTTAACTCGTTTCCACCAACTTGCACACCAATTTTTTTCCTTTTCCATTAACTCCGAGACGAGAGTTTTCGACGATCGCCTATCTTCGGCGGTCGGCCTCGAAAATACCGACGAGACGAGACGACCGAGGGAGCACAAGAGCGATCCCTTCGCTTCGTTTCGCGCGAAAATAAGAGAAGCAAAGCGATTTGATATCTACCGCAGGAATTCTCGCGAGTCACTCGTAACGAGTTCTCTCTCCGCGGGTATACCTCCATTAAACGCGAAATTCCGTTCCGTGCCCCTCTCGCTCTCTCCCTCTCTCTCTCTCTCTCTCCCTCTCATCTGTTTCCTTTGCGAAAAAGTTAAATAAAACACGTGCATCCCCGACGCCATCTTGGATTCTTCGGCGACCCCTTGGATCATTGCAAAAATGCAGCACGAGGACTTCCCGTCTTCGATTTGCTCGACGATTTCCTACGAGTTCGGAGAACACGATCCAAAGATATGAGCCGAGATCAACCTTTCTTTACCTTATTACGTATACGCGTATTTCCCCGATCCGGATACGTGTTGTGTTGGTTATATGGCGTGACGAGTGACGCGCCTCAACGGGTTGAAAGATAAGGCCAAAGTCTATTTGTTGTTCCCACGCGACAAAAGCGAGAGACAAAGAAGAGAAGGGTAAAAATGAGGTAAGAACGAAGGAAAGGTAATGGAGAGGAAAGGATGTAACGGAAGGAATCCCTGGACTCGGTCAGAACTCTCCGCCACGCTCAGGTACACGCGATGTCTTTGGTAATTTGTTTCGTCGAGTAAAGATCATTAATCTGCTTTCGGTAGATCATCAATAGCGCGAAAGATAAGAGCGATGCAACGGTGTATCGGTAATGGGAGCCCTCAATAACCTCTGCGACCCTAAAATCTCGCTCTTCCTCCACCTTTCCCACACTACCCAGAAAGAAGAGGCTTCGGGCAGAGGAGAGGACCTTCTTCTCGCAAACCGCCACCACCACCACCATCGCCATCCACCTTCCCCGGCCGGCATCCTCCGGATACGTTCCTCTTCTTTCTTTCTTTCTTTCTCTTTCTTTTTTCCTCTTTTGTCCTCGAGATACCTTTATACCCTCTCTTTTCTCTCGTTTCTCTCTTTTCCACGTTCACGCGGGTGCTATACACAGCTTTTACTTTAGGAGAAGCTCGTCGACTAATTTGTACCCGCAGATAACCACCGACCCACCGAGAATCTTGCACCCGCCCGTGACATCCTTACGGACTCGGAGAGACCCCGAGAACCCTTTGCAAAAAAAATTGACCACTCGACTCGGTCGGTCGACGAGCAAATAAACCAGCTACGCGAACCAAACGCCGAACCCCTCTCCCTCCCTCTCCTTCCGTTGTCGCGACGGAGGAGAACATCGAGGGGATCGACATCCATATCGACGACAAACGATCGACGAAACGTCGCCTAAATTAATTAACACCGTGCATCGTGTGACGCATCGTAACACGGCTACTAATATTAAGTCTCGAGCTGTCTCTCGAGATAACGCTCTCTAAGAGCGTTTTTTTCTTCCGAGATACGAAGTGGCGTTATCGCGACCACGCGAACGGAAAGGACGGAGGATGAAGAAAGAAAGAAAGAAAGGAAGGAAGGAAGGAAGGAAGGTTGGAAAGAGGATAGCGATCGATAGCGAAGAAGGTGGAACGCGAATGATGGAAAAGAACGAGAAGAAGATATTCTCTGGCTGGATTCTCTCGAAGAGTTATCGCATCTTTGACCCCCGCCTCGTAAAATTGTCTAAAGGAAAGCAGATGACGCGAGATGCAAGCGCCCGTATTGGCCCGTACAGGGTGCATTGAACCGTTGGTTTGGAAATCGTTATCGGTCTATACTTAAACGGTTGTACAATAATTTTACGTTTGGCACTACTTTAAAGGGAGAGTTGGAGAGTTAATCAACGATGAATCCAAAAGCGGCCGCGTCCACGATCGAGAATTCGATAACGGAGGTGAACACGTGGTAGCAGTTGCTGCACACGGTGCGAAACGGGAGGGATCGAAAGGCGATTGCGGCGTGCCATAAGTACGAGGAATGTCCTCGGCTGAATTCCCTCGAAGCGGAATCACTCAAACCGATCGTGCGCGACCGCTTTCACGAAAAACCGACTCTCGATCTCCCTCGTGGACGGAGGGAAAGGAGTTTTAAGTTTAATTGGTAAATTTCCGTTTGATTTGCAGCGCGACCTGCTTAATGAGCAATTCCGTGGACGATTGGGTAAGCGGCAATGCCGTGGTCTGCAAAGGTATTCCAGGGATGACGAAGGAACAGCGCGAGCTATGCCACAGAAATCCGGACGTGACGGTGGCCGCGATCAAAGGTCTGCAAATGGCGATATCCGAGTGTCAGCATCAATTCATGTGGCACAGGTGGAATTGTTCATCCTTGACGCCTAGCAGCAGGACGCAGCAGAGCAGCGTCCTCCTTCAGAGAGGTAAGATAAGAGGTGGCAGGAGTATGGTGGGGAATAGAACGCGTGAATAGAACGAAAAATAGAAATAGAAGTTGTTGCGTTGAACGACCTGAAAAAAAAAAAAAGAAAAAGAAAAAAAAGAAA